CCTCAACACTCTACCTGTCCAGGACAGGGTGCTGCATCTCCCCCTGCGAACCTGCTCTTTACTCTGTGTCACTAGGCCAGAAAGATGAGGGTCATCTTTGACTCCTCAACCTCATGTTCTGGAGTCTAACTCCTCTCCATTCCACCCCTTAAGTGTCCTTCAAGGCCATTGCCTCCTCTCCTCTCAATGGTTTCTGCTCTAATTCAGGCCACCAATCACCTCCCAACCTCCCATTGTACCCATCCTCTCAAATCCACCCTCCACACTGCGATCAGAGTGATGTTTCCAGTGATTGTTCGAAAGTGCAAATCTGCCCCCAGTTTAAAACTTGATATATATATAAAAAACCTTAATCACAGGATGAAACCCAAACCTTAACTAGATCCACAAAGCCCTAGATCTACTCCCACCCACCTCTCTGGTTCTCTGTCTCACCGCCCCCCCCTCTACTACACTCACTTCTTTCAGCTTCTCCAAAGCACTAAACTCTTTACGGTTTCGGGGTCTTAGCATGTGCTATTCCCTTAACCTGGAAGGCCCTTCCCCCAGCTCTACGACTGGCCAAAGTCTCCTTATTTTTTAGATACCAGCTGAAAAGTCACATCTTGCAGGGTTTTCCAGGTAAATCGGGACTCTTCCTTAGTTTCTCTGGCTCAAAACTTGATGTTCTCGCTTCATATCACTTGCAAACATCTCAGAGCTTGCGTTTTCTTGTGCTTAGCTATCTAATCTCTGTCTCTCTCGTAGCCCAAATTCTCCATGCAAATAAGGACTGCAGCCTCCTCTGTTCACAGCGGTACCCCCACACCCAGCCCCGGACCTGATATAAAAGTAGACACATGATAACTTTTATGGAACAAATGATTCTTTCATCTCGTCCTCATCAGAACCCCATTCCCAGGCTTACTTTCATCTCTGGCCTTTGCATGAGTCGCTTCCTCTGCCTAGAAGTTTCTTTCCTTCCACCCTCTCACCCCCCACCTGGAATCATGCACATATTACAAGACTAATTTCTCTGGAACTTGTCCCTGGCCCCTTCATTTGAATTAGGATTTCCCTCTGGACTCTGTTAGTCCCCTCTATGTTAACATTTTGGTGTCACTCTACGGTCACTTTCATTGCAAATTGCCAGGTAAACATGAATGATTAACGACAATGAACTTCTCTCACCTCTCTGCTCCAGTGGGCTCAAGGACATCCACTCTCTGCCTTTCAAACCATCAGGAACCCCATTTTTCATTCATTCGCTAAGCACTGATCAGGTGCCTACTGTGCAATTTTCTTTCTTGGAGGGGCAAGGAGTGGGGAAGGGAAACGGACAGGATTCTTCTAAGGGTGAGGCCGAAGGAGGTGAAAGCATCGGAAGTGCTAAGCAAATGCCCAGCCAACCCACACCCAGGGTGCAAGTGGGCGCAGAGGAAGCAGGGAGCTGAGGGGTGGGACTAGTGCATTCAGTTCTGCCCCTTTCATGGAGCATCTGCTGTGTGCAGGGCATGGCAGGGAGGAGGGTTGGGGGACACAGAGAGGTGGGCCTGAATGGCAAGACATGCCTGGGGGTATGCTCCAGCACCACTGCCTTCCTACCCTGGGCACAGCTACAGGGACCGAAGTTGGGTACACTTGCTGTAGGAATCTTAGTCTCTGTTCTGTCTCTACTTTTTGAGGCCACTCTGCTCTTTTGAGTTGCGGCTCATTCTCTCTATCCTGACACTTCCCGCACACCAGAGTTTATCAAAGTGAAGTCCAGAGGCCACCTCCGTCAGCATTACCTGGGAAGGAGGCAGGGGCTTATAAAAATACATGGTCCTGAGCTCCCACTTATCAACTAAGACTCCCCAGGGTAGGACTCTAGAATCTGTGTGTACGATAATCCCCTGTTTGGTGTACTCAGGTAGGAGAGCCTCACCGCTCCTGCTGCTTCCAGGATCAGCCCATCTGCCCTCCTTTTCCCTGGCTGCTTGTTCCTGTCTGGGGTCTTTTGGGGGCTGTTCTTTCTCTGCCCATCCCTTAAACGTCAGGGTGGCCAGAGCTCCCCCATCCACTAACCATCCACACCTCCAGCACCCCAGGCTAAATTTTCTTCTGCCCTGGGGTGACTAACAGCATCCAGAAGTGACATGACTAAAACTGACCCTATCACTCTCTCCCCAGAACCCACCTTTCTCCCTCGCCTGTGATGCCCACCTCAGTGAGCATCGCTCCTACTGCCCCAGCCAGAAACTTTGGTGTCATATTGACTTCCTTTCTCCCTTTCTCTCTCATCTCAGCAGCAACCAGATCCTGATTATTTTGCCTCCTAAAGATGTGTGTAGTCTCCCTCTCTCTCTTTCTCACCCCGGATTATTGCATTTTTCTCCTTACTGATTCCCTCTCTCTCGTCTCTTCTCTTTCTGGCGAATTCTCCAAAAGCTTTCTAAAATGCAAATCTGACTATAATCACCAGCCCCTTTAAAACCTTTCAATGGATCCTCATAAACGGAGGTCCTAAACCCTTTTGCCTAATATATAAGACCCTCCATCAGCTGGTCCCAGCCTTCTGCTCTGGCTTCCTCTCCTCTCTTGCTCCAGTAACAGCAAACTGCTTCTGCTTCTAGCCTCCAGACCTCTGACCAGTCAGTACCCCCTGCCAGAAATAGCCCTTGCCTGGCTGACTCCTCCTCACAACTGCGGCATCACCGCCTCCGGGACGCCATTCCTGACCCTCCCTGCTCCTGTTCCCGCCATCCCTGGTGCATCCATAATGCCTGGTACAGGAATCTGTTATTCCAATCACCACACTGAGTTAGAATCATTGATTTCCATGTCTCAGTTCCACACTAGCCAGCGAGATCCTTGAGGGCAGGGACGGTGTCCCATTCATCTCTGTATCCCAGCCCCTGGCCTGGTGCCTGACACTAAAGACAGGCTCGGTTAGTGGTTGATGGATGAATGCAGAGGGGAAACTTAAAGGAAATGAGAGCCAGGAATGGCCAAAAGGGCAGTGAGGGCAAGCCCGGCAGGAGGCGCAGCCAGAGCAAATGTGTGGGAAGTAGAAAGGCGAGAACTCCCCTTTCTTGCACTCCCACGACTGCCCGCCAGCCATTGTGCCTGTGCTTGGTTTGCACATTTTGTCTCATTTAGTTCTTGCAACAACAGGTCAGGAAACTGGCGTCAGAGAACCAAGCAACCTGCCCAAGGTCACACAGCTGGGCCTGGAGTGGAATCCAGGGCTGTCTCATCTACAAAGCTGTGTTCTTTCTGCTGGGCCACACAGGTCTCCTGGGGCCAGCACCTTCTGGAGATGGACAAGAAGTGGGTCCAGCTATGACTCTGCCTCCCTGAGTGCTGGAAACAGCTGCCCACGCTCAGGCAGACAGCTTCTTCCTCTCAGCCGGACCGGAGGCTCCGAGGCCAGACAAGGATTTATCTGTTCCTTCCTCCCTTGGCTTTTGGGGTCTTTGGCTGGACATGCACGTCCCCCACCACCACCAGGGAAAGGGGCTGCTGTACCTGGTACTACCCAGGGTGCCCGCGGAATGCCAGGGTCTCTGTAACGTTGTCTGGGTTCTGCAGAAGCTATCTTCCTCATTGCACTTGGCCCAGGCTGGTATTAAGATTCATCTGCATTCTCTGCGCACTCGCCTGGCAGATGGTGGGGGAGGAGGCTGGGTGCCTGCTGGGGGCTGCAGCCAGAGACCAAGCTGGGTCTCAAGGGCCACAGAGCAGAATGCCCACCCATTGGGCCCCATAGGCCCAGCCCAGGCTGGGGCTAATCCAAATTCTGGGGTACTTCCTCACCCTCACAGCCTCTGAAGGGCACAAGGACCTGACCTTTGCTTTTTCTAAGGATTTAAGAGGCCCTAAATTCCAGAAAGGAAATGTGGAGGTTATTGGAAGAGGGGGTCCCACCTTTGGGAATCTCTTATCAGGCTCCTGTTCTTCCTCTTTGTCCTAAAAGTTTGCAAAGACCAGAGATAACCAGGGGCCCCGGTTGGAATAGGAGCCCTGGTGACTCTCTGGGTCACAGGGCAGGAAAAGAGTGAAGAATGGAGGACAGCTTTCACCGAGGCCTAGCCCACCTAACTCCCCAGTTTCCCAGAAGGCTTACCCCTGACCCCAGCCCCAGAATCTAGCCTGGCCCCAGCGTCCTTTTCAGCCCAGGGCTTTAGCCAAAAGTTTCCCAACATCGTCACTGGACTGAGATGAGAGGTGGGGGGGAGACAGTTATCCCAGCCTAAATAGAAGAGGAAAAGAACTGACATTTAACAAAAGGTGCACAGGCTAGATATCCAGAAGAACTTCCCTCAGCACAGAAGCAAGTTTTGCGGACAGAAAGTGGAGTTTCCACTATGGGGAGGAATAAGGAAGCAATAAGGAAGACGTTCTTTTTTGGCAGCTGGAATGGGTTTGGGAAAAAAATGATCTTTCTAATTTCCGGGTCTCCTGGGGTTGAGGGTAGGGCAGCAGATGCCGAGGGCAGCTGACACCTTGCCAGAGGAGCGGATCAGGTAGGACAGGGCCACTGTCCTCTCCCTTCCTCGCCAAGAGTTACTTAGCCCCTGAGTTCTGCCCTCTTTGTCCTGGGTCCCCGGGCTGCGGGCCGGCAAAGGAGGAGTTAACACGGGAGGTACTGGTTGGGCTCACCGTACCTGCCACCGCCGCCGCCGCCGCCGCCTGTGGGAGGGACGAGGAAGCCGGAGCCGCCAGGGCGCCAGGAGCGCTCCAGTCTGGCGGGT